CTGGTAGCCGAAGGTACAAAATGCTCATAGAGTGCCCTTTCTTTCACTGGTTTCCCTGGTATTTAGTCACACACTCAACACCAAAATTGCCTGCTAAAACAGGAGTGTGAAAAAGTTAATTATTTGCTCAGATTTATGATTGAATTGTAATGTGGGGCTTTTGAGCATTGACTGCCAATTTGGTTTTAAAAAGTGAGGAGAAAGATGATAAGAAAATGTGTGACTGAAGGTAAAGGCTGCAAAAATTCCATAAGGTTCAGATGGATTCTCACTTGTCCCACAAAGGACTTTTGGCTTTTCAAGTGAAAGTGGAAAAATTGCCATTGCAGCAGCAGATACCACCTGAGATCAAAGAAAGAGAGAACACTCAAGATGAAACTGCTTTTCTTTCACAGTTTAGGTGGGCTTCCTTTTTTTGTTATAAATCCCTAAATCCTAAAGGGTGTTGGAAAATATTTTCTAGTGATTAAACTATTTTTTTTCCTGCAAAGCATGTAGGGAGTTTTGCAGTGACAGCCTCTGTCCCATCAGGAAATAGGCTGTTGCCTTTGCTAAAACTCCCATCTCCCATGTTGCTGAAGAAGCAGCTGTGTCACTGAACCTGCAGCAACCTTACATTTGTAATAAAAACCCCCAAAGCATTAAGAACCACAGGATTACAATGATTTGGGTATGACAAATGATCCCAGGTTACACAGAGCTTGATTTCCTGGAATGTAGAATAGCCAAAGTCAAATTGTTTTCAAGGAACTCTCCATGTGTTGTGCAGTTACAGCCCAACTGACCCTGTAACTCAGTCCTGGCCTGAGATGATTCAGATTTACCTGAAGTGGGACAAAAATACAAAGAATTTGCCAAGTCTCACCATCCAGATTCTGGTTATGTGTCTATCTCAATTTCTATACACTTCTGTGACCTCTGTGGTTGTGGACAGAAGATGTTTCTAATCTCATGATTTTGGGAATCCTGACTCATCCTTTTCAGTGCTGAGGACAGGTAACTCCTCTCCCTCATGTGGGAAATTGCCTGAGCTGCCTTACAGCAGGTTTGCATGGCCTGCACACAGGGAAATGTGCTTAGGAATGCTGAGATCCCAAAGCTAAACCAACACCCTCCCCACAATTCTCTGGGTACAGGTAAAACACAGCAGGTAAAACTACCCCTGTAGCTTTGTGTCAGCCCCAGACAGGACTCTGTGCTCCAGACAGGCAGCAGCAATCCCTTTCCAAAGCGAGCTACCAGATTAATTTGGTTTTGTTCTTAAAGGAAGATACATGAAGACTGTCTCCTCATTCCCAAAACATGAGCACACCAAGAACAGCCAAGGATTGCCCAGTTACAGAGAGGAACTCAGTTAGAACATCTGCTCTTGCAGGATATTTATGAAGTGGATCAAACCTACTGACTTCTGGCAGTTTCACTGGTCTGATGGGACAATAAGAGGGATGTTGTTTATGTAATTCATCTTTTAAATTGAGCTCTGATCCCCAGGAGTACAAGAGGCTCCTGAGGAGTCGTGTTTGTGAAGGTCTGAACTGTGCCTGCTCCCTGTGCTGCTGCAGAGTCATCATTCATCACACACAGCAGCATCCTGGGGCTGCTGGCCAGTTCTGTGTGTTAAACAGGCTCCCCTCAGCCCCAGTGACGTGCTCTGTGGGCATCATCCAGTGGACTGGTTCTCTGGACAGAGTAACCTTGGAAGGGTTTATCAGAGCCTGATGGGAGAGAGGAGCAGGGCTGGGATGGGGCCAGGATGAAACACACTGGCTGAAAAACACGGTGAGAGACAAATATCATGGACTCACAGCCTGGTCTGGGTTGGAAGGAACCTCAAAGCTCATCTTGTTCCACCCCCTGCCATGGGCAGGGACACCTTCCACTAG